GGCGAAACGATGGCAGGTTTGTCCATAACAATATCAATCCATATTTTATGAAAGAAAAGGAAATCCAGCCTGTGTGCTCAGCATCCACAACTCCACGAGTGCTTTCTTATTAATTATTATCATCGCACATGCATGCACAAGAAAACAGCACAAACCTTGTGGGCGTTCTGAAAATGTTGTTGAGATCCTCAAGTTCTCAACTGATTGCTAAGTCAAACGACCGGCGCCATTAGTCGCAGAAGATCGAGCCTAGGGATATGAAATGATAGCTTTCCGTCGAAGCAAGGGCCGGCGCACCACAAGGTGCTGGCCACCGGATGCGCGAACAGGTGGTCGGCACACAGGCCATGCAGCCAAAACTCAACATTGCCGATCAGTGCTAGCTACTCCATTGCCTGCATCCACATGACCTTTACTTGTTAATCTCTGGTCAGCACCGGCCGAGCCTCGGCGACCATATTGCGCACAACTCCGAAGTTCGCCGGCCGGCCGACCGTCTTATGTGCCATGGTACACCGGGAAGTAAATTGCACAAAACCACCACTTTGAAGGCAAAGTTTGCGAAAACCATTACAATACATTTTTTTGCAGAAAACACGGTATCTTCGGTAATCTTTTTGCAGAAAGCACTGGTCGGCGGATTGGGCTCAGATAAGTGAGACTATGACAGATGGGGCCCGCCAGATAGGCTGACGTGGCACCAATCTCTCACACCGTTATATGGAATCGTTTTGCTTGACAGGGGACCCGCTTGTCAGTGAAACACTCTCTTCTCTGTGTCAGACCACTTGGTCATTTTATCGAGCAGGTGCAGCTCACCGCGGCCGTGCAGGTGTTGCAGGGCGCAGGAGGTTCGCCGAGGCGGTCTCCGGCGATGCAATAGAGGCGCGCAGCATGGATCCGGCGGGGATGACCCGATCCCGACGGGATCTGGACGAACTGGAGGGCGGCGAGGCGGTTCCCGATGTTGAGAAGGTGCGGCGCCCGCGGTCGACAAGCTCCGGCATTA